GTTTAGCATTAAACTGTGTGGGCCATTTAGAGAGAGTAATGGTCAGGCCTCTGACCTCCGTCCACTAATCGCCACATGGACATCATACACAAATGTACTGAGCCGCTACTAGACCGGGTCCCGGAGCTGAGAGATCTGCACCTCATGGAAAGACTAGAAGAGCTCGACAAAGAGTCTTTACATTCATCGACTGTAATAGAAAAATAAGAGTTTCGACACAGTACAACACGGAAGACACCTTTGTTAACTGTAGAGGCAGTCTGAGGTTGTGATATCGTGGAAGTAACACTAACTTTAATACGGAAGACTCAAAGTTACACAGAGAGACAATGTTTATGTGGGGAAACCTGACTTTAAGAGAACTCCAAATAACTCGCACATAGGAAAATGAAAGTTATGGCGACGTTCCTGTCAGAGTTAGACCAATAACTAGTCACTTGGTTCTTTGTATATTGTTCCAGTCACGGTATTATGACCTTTTTATTCTTTATTTTTTAGATCATATATAAAGGGAAGAGGCTCAGAAGATCGTAAAAAAGGGCCCGTAAGAGGCCCACTAAAGCTCATTCTCAACAACACAATAACAGGGCTAAACAAAGACTCAAAGGGAAAAAAAAGAAAAAGTGCCCCCCCGCCCCCCCTACCCCATATGTGGGCAGAAAAAGTAAAGAAGAACGTGTAGTGAACATCAGACCCAAAATAAAAACAAAAAATGAACATGTAGTGAAAATCAGACCAAGCGAAGCCCCACATGAAAAATGTAGGAAAATCAGGGCCAAATGAAGCAAACATGAACATGTTTTTTTAAACATCGACAAGTGAAGCCCAAATTTAACTTTTTAGTGAAAAAATCGACCAAAAATGAAGCAACTTTAACATGAGTGAACATCAGACAAAGCTAAAGGGACAAAAGAAAATGTAGTGAACATCAGACCAAGTGAAGCCCCACCTGAAAATTTTAGTGAACATCAGTCAAAAATGAAACAACATGAAAATGTAGTGGAAAATCCCGACCCAAAATGAAGACACATGAACCCTGTAGTGAACACAGAATTTAAACTGAGTACACATGAACATGTTTGGGGAAAATCAGATTAAGCTGAAGCACCATGCATGTAGTGAACATAAAACCAAGCTGAAGCCCCAAAAGAACATGTAGTTTAACATGACCAAAAATGAAGACACATGAACATGTAGTGAACATCGCCAAAACTGAAGCACCCCATGAACATGTATTTAAAAATCGACCAACTGAAGCACACATGAAAAATGTAGTAAAATCAGGGCCAAGCTGAAGCCCCACATGAAACCCTGTAGTGAAAATTTTGAATAAGTGAAGTACACTGAAAAATGGTAGTGAACATCAGATTAAGCTGAAGCACACATGAAAATGTAGTGAACACATACCAAATGAAAGGGAAACCCTGAAATGTAGTGAACATCAGACCAAAAAATGAAGCCCACATGAAACATGTAGTGAAATCAGACCAAGCTGAAGCAAACATGAAAATGTTGTGAAATCATACCAAGTGAAGCACACCCTGGGAAAATGTACCGAAATCAGAAACCCAAACTGAAGGGAAAACTTGAACATGTAGTGAACATCAGATAAAATGAAACCACTGAAAAATGTAGTGAAATTCAGGGCTAAAATGAAGCACACATGAACAATTTTAGTGAAAATCAAACCAAAAATGGAACAAATGAACATGTAGGGGGAACATCAGACAAAATGAAGACCTTGAACATGTAGTGGAAACATTGACCCCAAATGAAGCAAAACATGAACATGTAGTGAAAATCAGATAAGCGAAAAATACACATTTAAAAATGTAGTGAACATTTAGAAATTTAAACTGAAGCACAAATGAACATGTAGTGAACATTAAAACCAAGCTGAGACACAAAGAAAAAAAGAGTGAACATCAGGGCCCAAAAGAAAACACAAGAAATGTAGTGAACATCAGACCCGGAAGCACCAGGAAAAAATGTAGTGAAAATAAGGGCCAAAATGAAGCCACATGAAAATGTATTTAACATCAGCCAAGCTGGAAAACACACAGAAAAAAAAATTTTAGTGAACCCTTAAAAATAAACTGAAGTACACCCTGAAATGTAGGAAAATCAGATTTTAAACTGAAGCCCCACATGAACAAAGTAGTGAACAAACATACCCAAACTGAAGCACACATGAACATGTAGTGAACATCAGACCCCAAAATGAAAACACACCCTGAAAAATGTGGTGAACATCAGCCCCAAACTGAAGCACACATGAACATGTAGTGAACCCTAAAAACCAAGCTGAAGCCCACATGAACATGTACTGGAACATCAGCCAAGTGAAGCACACATGAACATGTATTTAACATCAGGATAAATGGGAAACACACATGAACTTTTAGTGAAATCAGACTAAAAAATGAAGCACCAAAATGAACCCTGTAGTGAAAATCAAAAACCCAAAATGAAGCAAAACATGAACATGTAGTGAACATCAGACCCCAAACTGAAACACACATGAAACATGTGTGAACAAACAGACCCAAATGAAACACACATGAAATGTAGGGGGAAAGTTTAGGGCTAAGTGAAACACACAAGGGAAAAAAAGTAGTGGGAAAATCGGGCCCAAATGAAAACCATGAAATGTAGTGAACATCAGACCCAAACCCGAAAACACATTGAATAAGCTGAAGTACACATGAAAAATGTAAAATGAACATCGACCAAAATGAAGCACCCATGAAAAATGTAGTAACAAACAGCCAAGCTGGGAAACACAATGAAATTTTAGTGAACATCAGAAACCAAACTGGAAAAAACACATTTAAAATGTAGTGAACATCAGACCCAAAAAAAAGCCCCCACATGAACATGTAGTGAACATCAGAATAAGCTGAAAACACATGAACATGTAGTGAAAAAAAGGGCTAAACGAAGCAAACATGAACATGTAGTTGGGGGAACCCTAGACCAAAAAAAAAAGAAAACTTTTAAAATGTAGTAACTTTAGACCAAGTGAAGCAACATGAAAAATGTAGTGGAAAAATCAGAAACCAAAATGAAGACACATGAACATGTAGTGAAGGTCAGACTAAACTGAAGCACACATGAACATGTAGGGGAAAATCAGGGCCAAAAATGAAGCACACTTGGAAAATGTAAATGAACATTTAGGGCCCAATGAAGCACACATTAGAAAAAAGGGTGAAGTAACATGAACTTTTAGTGAACATCAGACCAAACTGAGCCCACATGAACATGTAGTGAACATCAGACCAAACTGAAGACACTGAAATGTAGTGAAATCAGCCCAAAAATGAAAACACACATGGAAAAAGTAGTGAACTCAGACCAAACTGAAGCAACCCGGAACATGTTGTGAAAAATCGACTAAGTGAAGCACACCCTGAACTTTTAGTTTAACATAGACCAAACTGAAGCCCCACATGAACCCTGTAGTGAACATCAAAAACCCAAACTGAAGCCCCCCCTGAAAATGTAGTGAACTTTAGACCAAACGAAGCACAAAAGGAAAAATGTAGTGAAATCAGGGGTAAGCTGAAGCACACATGAACATGTAGTGAACATCAGACCAAAAATGAAAACACACATGAACATGTAGGGGAAATAGGGAAATAAGCTGAAGCCCAAAAGGGAAAATGTAGTGAAAATAGACCAAACTGAAGACACATGAAAATGTTTGTGAACATCATACCAAGCTGAAGCCCCACATGAAAAATTTTTAGTGAACTTTAAGGGCCCCAAAATGAAAGCACCATGAACTGTTGTGAAAAGTCAGACTAAGCTTTAAGCACACATGAATATGTAGTGAACATCAGACCAAAAATGAAACACCCATGAAATGGGAGTGAAAATCAGACCCAAGGGTGAAGCAACATGAACATGTAGGGGAACATCAGACCCCAAAAGAAGCACACATGAAATGTAAGTGAAACACAGATAAAAATGAAGCACACCTTTAAAAAATGTAGGAACATCAGGGCCCAAAAATGAAGCAAAACATGAACATGTAGTGAACATCATACCAAGCGAAGCACACATGAACATTAGTGAAAAAATCAGACTTAAAAATGAAGCACAATGAACATGTAGTGAAAATCATTTCCAAATGAAGGGACACATGGAAAAAAGTAGTGAAAATCAGGGCTAAGTGAAACCCCAGATGAAATGTAGTGAAAAATCGACTTAGCTGAAGCACCATTTTAAAAATGTAGTTTAACATTTAGACCAAGTTTAAGCACACATGAAATTAGTGAACATCAGACTAAGCTGAGCCACAAAAGGGAAAAGTAGTGAACATCAGACTAAACTGAAGCACACATGAACATGTAGTGAACATCAGACCAAGCTGAAGCACACATGAACATGTAGTGAACATCAGACCAAGCTGAAGCACACATGAACATGTAGTGAACATCAGACCAAGCTGAAGCACACATGAACATGTAGTGAACATCAGACCAAACTGAAACAACATGGAAAAGTGGTGAACCTAGCAAAACTGAAGCACAATTTACAGGGAGTGAACCCCTTAGACCAAACTTAAAACCCCAAAATGAACATGTAATTTAACATAGGGCAAGTGAAGGGACACATGAAAAATGTAGTGAACATCAGACTTAAAAGGGGAAACCCACAATGAACATGTTGTGAAAAATCAGACTTTACGGAAGAAAACATGAACAAGTAGTGAAACATACTAAGCTGAAGCAAACATGAAAATGTAGTGAAATCAGACCAAACTGAAAACACACATTTAACATGTAAATGAAACTCATTCCAAGCTTGAAGCCACATTAAATGTAGGGGAACATCAGACTAAGCTGAAGCATCATGAACAGTAGTGAAACATTAGACTAAGTGAAGCACAAAATGAACATGTAGTGAAAAATTTAGACTTTGCTGAAGCACACATGAACAGTAAATGAACATTAGACCGCAAAAAGCACCCCATGAAAATGTGGGTACATCAG